GACAAAACGTGTTTAGGGTTCAGATCGCGCTTTATGTGGAGAATAATGCATGGCAATCAGCTCATTTTTTTTTAAGTGGCGTTTATCGGTTTTTGCAAATGAACTCATATTTTCCCCCGCATATCATGTACTTATTTATCACACCAAAAAAACAACAACAACAAAAAAAACAGAAACATATTGCATTAAGAAAATGAAGTTAATTTGTTGGATCAAGGTTTTTCTGCATTAAAACATTTTCTTGACAGTCATGTTCCTCATGACTTTGATTGGGCCAGAGGTTTGGTGAGATTCATCAAGGTGAAGTCGGACAGGGCTGTAATGAGGATCAGTTTGAACAAACGTGACTCTTTTCCACACCCCTTCTGTCTCGTAATTGCCAGCAATTTAGACTATTCGCGTTCGCTCATGTGAGATGAATCAACAGACTTCAGATCTGACAAGACTCGTGTGACAAGTCTCATTCCTGTTAGTACAGTTTACAGTGTCAGTCTGGATGGAGGTGGCAGATTAAACCCCAGATCCAGTATTTGGGTTTTAAAAAGAAAGGATTATTTAAAAAAAGGAGAACAAATTAAACAGGTGTGTGAGGAGAAGCACCAGGGCAGTGCATTGCAAGGCACTTAGACATTTTCAGAAGATGCTGTCTGTGTGCATTCATATGATCCTCTCAGTGTTTACTAATAGGGCCATTTATGTTGCAGTGATCCGTGTCATCTGCACTGTCAACAAACATGTGACATAATCCCATGATCAAAAATAAAGCTTCCAGAAGGCACACTCTGAAGTTACTTGAAGAAAATGAAACTGAATCCAGTACAGTTATTGCTTAAGAGATTTGCGCATCTTATTCGCTATCGTTTAAAGTGCCGCAAGATAATAGTGCGAGAATTAAAGGCCACCTGACAGTTTTCTACAGTATCCGTTGCTCAGGGGAAGGATTGTGGGATACCGGTGCTTTGTGAATGGATCAGGATCTGAACACGTGCACTGCCCGCACCACGTACTGCCGGCAGATCGGACACTCGTTCATGCGCTTGCCGCACTTTGTGCATGTGACCATGTGTCCGCACTCCAAAAGAACACAGTCAATGGGCGAGTCCATACAGATCTTACACAGGTTCTCCTCCACGGCCGTCCCAGATCCAGCGTCTGCAAAGAAAACAAGAAGTCAGTGCAAACTTAGATGAATAACAATCAGTATGAGAAGAAACTAAAGAATGCACGGGTCCGTATCATGAAAAAATGCAATTTAGACATTTACTTGAACATCTTTTTTTATTAATTGTAATATTTTTGGGAGTGGATTACGTCAAAATGTCAAGGTGGTACAACTGTCCTCTTTTCATAATTAATAACTAGTTTGGCATAGTCTTTTATTATGTCTTTAAAATAATAATAATACATTCAGGGTTAGGGATCGTCATTAAAATCATGTGGTGCAACCAGCGTGCAAAAATGCGGTGCCTTTTTAAAAAGTAAATAATTAAATACACACACACACACACACACACACTTATGTATAAAATAAAATAAATAATTAAATAAATTAAAATGTAAAAATTAATTAAAATAAAACTGTATATGTATATTTAATTCTTCATTTAAAAATTACGGTTATAATTATATATTTTTAATATACATATATTATTTTTGTTCTTAAAATGTAAATATTTATGTAAATAAATATATGTATAAATATATATGTAACTATAAATGTAAATGTAATGTAATATATATAGTGCCTTCCTTTTCTAAATGATTAAAATTAATTAAAAAATAATAAAAATGTATATACATTTAATTCTTAAAATAAAAAAATATGTTTATATATTTAATTCTTAAAAAATATTTTTATATTTTAAGTATACATA